CTATGTATACCCCTGAAGTTAGTTAGTTATATAGTATATTTAGTTTTCCATTACATTGGTAAAGTAGATAATTAATGTAGTTTTTGTTATTACTTTGGATTGGGAATCAATTTTTGAAATAAGAATTACAACTGAAAATGTATACAAATGGTTATATACTTTTTGGGAAATGATCTGTTTACAAACTTTTTTACAAATTTTTGTAAATTAGACTATTTACTTCTGGAAGTACATAGTGTAACCTAGTATCCTTTTGGAAACACATAGTATAGTTTGTAAACAAAAAGTTTGTAATATAACTCTCCCATGTTTTTTTTATATTAGCTAAATAATAGTATGGTACGACCTCTATCATTTTCAAATTGTGTGTTTACATTTTAAATAACTTATGCAAATTTAAAAGTGATAACATTTATAAGAAGTTCGGAACAAAAGGAAAAAAATTGTTAAAAAAAAATTCTGGTGAATTTTATACATTCTTATCTAATTGTTGCACTGTGGCGTATTATGCACTCTTTAGAATTTTTAAATTTTCTACCACTTTTTTTAAATTATTGTACTAGTCTATGTAGCACCGATACTGACACGGGACACGGGACTCGATACGACACGACACTCCGACATGTTAATTCTAAAAAATATTAGATTTCGATACGTTAGGACACGTTTTGATATTAAATAATATTTTTAATTTATGTAGTGTATATTATATTTAATATTCAATAATTTAACAAAAAAATGAAACTAAACTTATAATATTATCAATTCTGCAAAGAAACATAAGATATCCCAAATATTTATATTAAACTCAATAAAATGATAATCGTAATCTAACGAATCTAATAGTTGAAATTAAAAACTCAACGTAATGCAACCTTTGAACCTTTTTTTGAACTTCTATAACGCGTGTTGGAGTGTCGGGGAGTGTCGGGAAGTGTCAGACACGACACATCAGGGTTTTTGAAGTGTCGGTGCTTCATAGGTACTAGTTATATATAATTGAAGTATATAGCTTGAACAATTACCATATTTTAATGAAAAACAAATAAAAGAGAGAAAATATATATATTCAATTATAATAATATTGTTGCATCCAAATTCATCCATGCCCTCCATCAGCTTAATTAAATGTCACTTTGCTGCTCTTACATGGCATAGTGGTGCAGTTGGTGCCTATGATGCACCGATACTGACACGGGACACGACACGACACGACACGCCGACACGTTAATTCTAAAAAATATCATATTTTAACATGTTGGGACACGTTTTGATATTAAATAATATTTTTAATATATATAATATAATTTATATTTAATACATATAACGACCTATAATAAGTTATATAACCAATCAAATATTCAAATTTCATAACATAAATATAAACAAAAATAATTTTTCGTACCTTGTTAATTTTTCATGTAAATTTCATAACAAAAAAATTGATTTATATAACCCTCCCAAAATATTGACCGCATGTCGAACGCATGTCAGAGAGTGTCCGACACGCATATTTTCAAAATTTTAGCGTGTCGGTGCTTTGGAGGCTGGTGCTACCTTAACCTATAAGTTAATTGCAATCAAATCTGTTCTCTCATTATCTTTTTATTAAAAATGATAATTTAATAAAAAGAAATTAATAATAAACATAGAAATTACCATTTAAAAGATAATTTTTGCCATTATTATTTAATTAAAAATCAACGGATATTAATCCAAGTTGGTTAAGCATTCATCTTGAATTTTAGGGATCTTTGTTCGCGTCCTCTTGCTTTTGCAATTTTTTTCTAAACAAATTATAAAACACGGTACCATAATTATTAGTTCAAGTAATATCCTCTAATCTGAAGTTTTGGATTGAAGTCTTGAAAATAGAAAAAATAATATTGCAAGAGTTGCTTCCAATATAAATCGGATAGTGTTGGAACTAGATTAAATTTACTTCGATTAAAAAAAAAATTGTGAAACAAGGTGTGTTTAGGGGTTTGATACGTACGTTTGAAACCCTTCAACAGAAGATACAAATATAATAATAGTTATTATTGTCTAGATCTGTGTCTCTGGATGCTTTAAAATTATAAGAAGGCAACCCAAGTGTGGTGGCTCAATTGGTAGTATGGGGACTGAGTGATGGGAGAGGACTGATAAGCCTCTTAAATGAGACTTAAAACATATGGTTTAATGTGCAAATGGAGAGAAAAGAATAATTTTTGTGTTATTAAAAACCCCAAATTTATGTTGAGTTGATGTTTACTGGTTAAGTGTTAATGGGCTGCAAGTTTTTATTTTCAGGCCCATTGTTGCCATCCAAATTAGAAAAGCCCAGAAAAGAAATAAAAGAAGAAAACAAAAGAAAGGAGAAAAAGAAATAGGCCAAGCAAATCAAATCAGACAAGCCCAAGTGAAGAAAAGCAAAGAAAGAAATTGGAAGAAAGAAAAAAAATCAGAAGCGTGAAGCAAAAGCTGAGAAAAAGAAACCCTAGCACCCACCATTCGTCCAAACCCATCTCAGCCAAACCCTCACATCAAACCGATTTAACCTGAAATCCTTCCACAAATCAAACCACAATGTCAGACCGTGCTGTGAATTTGGTTCAGTCATCAAGTTTTAACCTCACCCACAGTTCATTAAGTGAAGAATCAAACCCTAGTCACTCTTTCTTTATACCGAAAATGCCAAACAAAACCCTCAACTGAGTGGGTGAGCTGGAATCTGTTGTGAGTGGGGGCTGAAGCAACTTTTGGAGTGTGGGAGCGATTTGTGCACATAAATCGTATGGTTGGGAGGAGCACGAGGTGCTTGCTGAGGTGTGAGGCAAAAAGCCGTGCATACAAAGGAAGAAGGCTATATAAAGAGAAGAAAATAGTGAGTGTGGCTCTCTTGGTTCGTCTAGTTTTTCTTTTATTTTTTTGTACCCTTTTCTTCAGATTTTTATTTTCTTTGTTCTGGTACTGTAATGGAGTTGGATTTCTGTTTGGATTCACTTATGTTGGTACAACACTGAGAATTTTCCGGTTATTAGGACTCGTGCTGTACTTTTATTTTCTGCACTTTTAGTTTCTGTAATTTTAATATTCGTTTGCTGTTTGTAACTCAACCCTCGTGGGTATGAGCTAATTTTCTCAAGGTTGGGTGTAGGTACCCGAACCTCAGTCATGAATGTGTGTTAATTGCTTTTGTTAAAATTTGATTCCCAGATGTTTAATATTGTGCTTAAATTTAAATAGTCTATTATTAAGGCCTGATGGTAGATATTATTTTAGGAATTAGTCATTGAGAGGTGACTAAGTCCAGAACTGTGTTAAGCACATGGACTTGAGTGTGAGAGCATTCAAGGGATGTTACTCAGAGATGAGAACAACCTCCATGCAATTTTGGACTGGAACTATAAGGGTCTTTGCTTCATTTAGCACAGAGATGTGCAAATGTTTGTTTAGGACAAAATGGTTTTAAGAGATTAAAATCAATAAGAAATAATCCATTACATGGGAATTAATTTTTAGTAATTTGTAATTAGCATTCATTCTATGGCTGTTGGGACGGGTAACCGAAACTCAACCTATTTTTACAACTTATTTTTCAACAACTCAGATTTCTTTTCATTTGATTTTCAATATCTTACTTATAATTCTGTTTACTAATTTCTTTATATAAAATCTCTTTCAATCAAATGTTTAATTTGCTTACTTTCCATTTCCCAATCTTCAGCTCAAGAAATCAAATCTGAAAATATAAAAAAAATTATTTAGAGTCACTGGGCAGTAGCGTTTTAACTCAGTTTTGAGATCAGTCAATTTCTTTTTAGTTTTACCCAATTTTTAGATTAAATTCAGTTTTAGCAATGACAAATTTTATTCAAAGTCAAAAACGCCAAAGATCCTTGTGGGAACGACAAAAAGGTCTCAAATATGCCCTGTATTACTTGTTGTCGCGTATTCTTGCGCGCTACTTGCATAACTGTTAGCAAGGCAACAAGTTTTTGGCGCCATTGTCGGGGATCAAAGGCGTACATTTGTAGAATTCTGTGTGATTACTGTTTCTGAGTAATTCATTTTTCTGTTTTTATTTTTTTTAGATTACTTTTGATTTTGTTTTCTTTATTGTGTTAGTTGTTATTGTTGTATTTTCTTTAATCGTGGTAGTTTGATTTTTGTTCTTTTCATATTCTGATTTTTTACATGTTTTATATAATTTGTCTCTCATTTAATTTTCTAGTATATTGTTTCATAGTTGTTACTTTATTTCTTAATTTTTTAGTGTCAGTCTTTTATTTTTATTATTAGTTTCATTCCCTTAGTTTTATTTTTTTTTACTGTTCGGTGATCCTATCTGTTTGAGGTTATTGCTACTGCTGCAATTCTGGAATTTTATGTTCTGATTGTTTTCTTGTTACTGAATAGTAATCTAGGTTGTTTAAACTGGTCAGGTTAATTTTTTTTTTTAGTTCAAAGGGTGCATGAGTGCAACTCCACACCCTTTCTTAGAATCTTTTGACCCTGAACCTGAAAGGACATTTAGAGTTAGGAGAAGAACCCTGAGAGAAAATAGGCAAATTCAACTTACAGAAGTCGAAGAAATGGAGGATTTAGGAAGTGTAAATGGGAATGAAGGAGTAGGAGGACCTGCAAGGATAGAGAACCCACCAGTAATAGATGACAATGATAGGTCCATGATGGACTTCATCATACCTGTGCTGGATGAGTTAGACCCAAGTATTGCCCAACCTGTTAATGGAGTGCCCTTTAAGTTAGAACTGGTGATGTTCACGATGCTCCAAAATATGGGGCAGTTCCATGGGCTGTTGATGGAAGACCCACACAAGCACCTTAGGAATTTCATAGAAATGGCCAATACTTTTAGGAATCCTAACATCTCAGATGATGTTCTGAGATTGAAGCTCTTCCCTCATTAACTGCTGGCTGATAAAGCCAAAGAGTGGTTGAACTCCCTTCCATCCAACTCCATAACCAATTGGCACACACTGGCTGGAAAATTTATCATGAAATTTTTCCCATCCAACAAGATAGTGCAAACCAGATGTGATATCACCAACTTCATGCAGAAGGATGGTGAGACCTTAGTGGATGTGTGGGAGAGGTTTAAGATCCTTCTTAAACAATGTCCCAACCATGGCTTGCCCTGTTGGGCAGTGTTGCAAACCCTTTACAACAACCTTAACACCCAAAACAGAGCCTTAGCAAATTCTCCTGCTAATGGAATGTTTATGTTCACGTCCTTTAATCAAGCCTACGAGTTGTTAGAACAAATGACTCGAAATTATGCCCAATGGCCTGAAGAGAGAAATCAGTCAAGGAGAGTGGCTGGTTTACATGAGGTAGATCCAGTAACAGCCTTTTCAGCCAAGTTTGATGCACTATCCACTTTAGTGAGAACCCAAGGACAAGCCATTGAGGTAAGATTGTCTCAGCCTCAAGTTCCAATACCTACTCACCAAGTTCCAGTATCCCAACCTCAAGTCAATGCAGTGAACACAGGTGAAACTTGTGTTTTCTGTGGTGGACCCCATTTGTTTGGTAGCTGCCCATCCAACCCTGAATCTGTCTTTTATGTGGGGAACCAAAATAGGAACCAAAATAATTTTTCCAACAACTTTAATCAAGGTTGGAGGCAGAATCAACAGCCTCAATATTTCCAAGGGCAAGGGCAGCAAGCTGGCCCCTCCAATATCCAAACCAAACCACATTTTCCCTCTCAAAACTACCAACAATATCCAAGGCAACAACCTGTTGCTCAATCTAGTGAGATGCCTACCTCTTCAACTTCTTCCTTAGAAGCTTTGTTAAGAGAATATTTAGTCAAGAATGAAACTAAGCAAAACAGCTTGGAAGCTGTTGTGCAAAATATTCCTGCATCTTTGAGGAATATAGGATCCCAACTAGGCCATTTAGCAAATACTATGAATAGCAGACCCTCTGGTACCATGCCTAGTAACACTGAAGAGCCTAGGAGAAATAATGAGCAATGTCATATGATAGAGCTCAGAAATGGAAGATCTGTGATAGATCATATGATAGAGCCAGAAATTCAGACTCAACCAGACCTATCTTTAGGGACTATTTCCATGGAAAAGTCCATTTCAAGGGGTCAAGCATCCAAGTCAAATGTTGAGACACCTGTTGTCTCAAACAGACCCCCACCCCCTTTTCCTCAAAGGTTGCAAAAAAAAAAAAAAGCAAGACAATCAGTTTAGGAAATTTCTAGACCTCCTAAAACAGTTGCATGTCAACATTCCATTTGTGGATGCATTAGAACAAATGTCCACTTATGTGAAATTCATGAAAGAAATTCTTTCAAGAAAAAGGAG